GTTGGGTGGTGAGGATTGCCTTTTTGTGACTTTTGTGACGCCCTGGATGGGGTGGCTGCTGGGATTGACATGAATAGATTTTGGGAAAGCAAAGGGCGCTCGTGTTCTGAAGACTGGTTTGCTCCTGTCGTCGTTTTCGGGACATGGAAGCAGGTGGTATACTGTGTTTTATTGACTTTGGTTTGGCTTATTCTCTGGATTCTTTTTCGTTTTTCATTTGTTTTCTTGGGCTTTTGTGAGGGGTGGGTTGGTACTGTACTTGACAGCAGCGTTTTAGCGTCCTTTCTTCTTGTACCTAGTGGTACCTGCCAAAAGAATTGCATGAGTTGTACACGTTTCTTGATGAGTTGCGCGTCTGAATGTAAGATGGAATGTAAGACATGTCCGACGCAGTTGTTGTTCGAGGGAGACGTCGATCGACGTTTGCTCGAGTGACCAAGCCGACTGCTCGTCAGCAGCATAGCAAGTGATAAGAAGCCAATTCCCCCCTGTAGAAGATACATGTAACAGATGAGAATCGCTGGCAGTCACCTCCCTCAAAGTTACTCCTGTCATGTGACATAAAAACAGTCCCGAGTTGGGTAGTTGTCTCCTGGGTGGGTGAGTATCGAATACTAGTCAAGGGTGAGTTAGTTCTCTGAAGTTTGTGTGAGGACGGGGAGAGGCTGAGTGGGATCGCGTGAGCCATACTTTGCCATTGCCATCTGGGTCAATATAAGAACGCTATCTATCTATCTATCTAGTAAGGCGGTTATCCACAATTCCTTGCTACCCATACCGGATACCTGGGGGTCGGCGGCACCCACCACCTCGCTTGTTGCCCGATGACGATAATCTCATTCCAGTAATTGTATTCAGACTGGAGGAGTCAGAAGACATGGTCTATGGAATAATCCCCATCCTAAAGCTGTAGGGCTACTCATATTCAAGAATCATAGACCTTCTGAACACTGTTATTCGACAATATGTGCTTTCTTGCTTCAGCGCTGTCTTGAGCCCTTCCTCTTGGAGCTTCTCTAATGCCTTTGATCTGGTTTTAGCTCGTGACTGGTGCCAGAGGTAGAGAGGCGACTGACTAAGTTCTTTGGAAGAGAATGATGTGAAATGAAAGTAGCCGGAGATGACAAAGACTATCTTGACCACCAAAGAAAGAAAGGGTGAAAGAAAGAACCTCCGGGAAGACTGACTACGAGTACCCCTTGTACTTGTTCCATTTTTTTGTTCACTGCTGTGTCGAGCAATCGATTCTCTGTTTCGGAACAACAAAAGAATGTACGCGAGGCCAATAGGTAGAGGCATCGGTAGGTGGGCACACAGAAGCCAATTTTCATTTTCTCATGAAAGAACAAGAAGAGCTCGGTGCGGTGCACTGCTATTTTCGAACGGCCAGTGATACCTGGCGACGGATTCAAAGATATGATGCTATGATAAGTATAACTTGTTGGCTCAAGGCACAATCTATCTGATCCTATCGTACCTGATAATAAAAGCCCTTCTTCGCCCGAACCCCTTCACCTCTCCTCATGACAATCAATGGTGCCTATTCTCCAACTCATTCTGATCATCATCACACGCATTCAGTATCTCTTTTGCATCACATCACTACCACTGGTCATGTCCCAGCCTGAAGTTGCGGAACATCCAGTTACTCACCCTGCCCCATTTCAGCTTACTGTTGCGGGGTTCGGCGAGAAAAAGGATTGGGGTAAGTGGCTCAGTACTTCGGTCTGTCCAGGTCGTGAGATTGACGACCCATGTCTAGAAACATACCACACCTACCTACCCATCAACCCCGAACCCAAGTTCGCTCTTGCACACCAACGGTTCCAACTCGATTTCAGCGGCTTCGGCCATCGTGCCGAGCAGGGGGCCCTTCAGGCGGTATGGGTGGGGCTTATGGTGAAGGACATGGAGGGCCTCATGGAGACCGAATACCTCATTCTGATCGACGTTCCTACGCAAGAACCGACGGCTTCAGCACCACAGAATCCAATCGTCCAGCAATGCATTGAGCTCTATGTCAACCAACGCATCTCCGAACTGGGCAGCCTCCTCGGCTCACTTTTTCTCCCCCCGGTTCTGGAGGAGATGGGCCCCCGTCCCGACAACCTGGAATCCTTGCTGGCGCGATCCCATCTTTGTTACCGTCTGCAGCCCGGAGCCGACGACGACGCGGTGACCTTCGAGCCATGGGCGACTCCCATCCTAAACGGAGAGATTGACTGGACCTCCGAGATCCTGGGCGATATCCTCCAGAAGGTCCCGATCTTCGCACACTCGGACATCGAGTCCTTCCGCGAGATTAAACGCCGCAAGATCTACGAGGTGGTGATCAACGGGAAGACTCTGATCTTCAAGTTCCCTCAGGTGACGGAAACCCTGGCTCGCGAGGTGAACATTCTCCGGAAGATGGCCGACCGTGAGCCCGGCGTCCGAGTGCCCAAGGTGGCGGGGATCATCGGCGTCCATACCTCCCAGCCGGGAATCTTGATGACCTCGGTTCCTTCGGGGATGGATTTATCAGTCGTTCTCGGGAGTGATCCTGACATCAGTCGGGCCGAGCGTCAGAAGTGGTATGACCAGGTCTCGGAAATGGTGCGGATTCTGCACCGGAATGGGTGCGCCTGGGGCGACGTCAAGGACGCCAATATCCTGATTGATGAGAATCGTGACGCGTGGCTGATTGATTTTGAAGGATCCCGGACCCCCGATTGGGTTGATGAGGACCTGAAAGGCACAGAGGCTGGGGACTTGCAAGGGCTGAAGAAGCTCCGTGAGGTTCTGAAGCTGGAAGCTGAAGAAGTGATTAGTCTGCAGATGATTTTGAAATTGTGCTCTTCTTTCTTGGGCATGTGCGCTTTCCTGATGAACTCCGTTCTTTGGTCCCTGGATCACATTCCGGGGGTTTTTCTCACTGGGATTCTTGTTCTGCCCTTTGTTCGATAGATTTTTCCGTCTTGTCGCATTTCTATCACGGTTTCTGAACGGCATTGACCGAGGCGCCTGAGGTAGTTGTGTTAGCGGGAGGTGACTCTTACCTGTTTCTGCTGCTGTACTTCTCGCGTTGTATAGGGTAGGTAGTCTGTTCCATCATGATCCCTTGCTCACGGGGCCCGGTTGGTCTTTCTCTGCCTTAGCAAGTTTCTCTCGTTCAGGAAAGTCGGTCTGTAATTTGCGATGGGATGTCTAGCCTCATGCTCAGAGCTATGGTTGCATTTGATGGCGTAAATGCGGTGGTGAAACATGGCTCTTGTCTGCCAGGGTGGCAGTGCTATGGTGTGTCTTTCAAAGTCTCGTACCCAAGCTCGACTAGTATGTGACTCCTGACTCTGGCTCAGGGAGAGGCGTGTTTTAGTTCACTGGCCGTGGTTGGGTCAGATGGCTAACTGGGTCTTGGACCTCAGGGTTGCTGTGAATGGCCGTCACTAGGCCTTTGCATGGTAAGCTTCAGAGTAAGTTCCCACTTGGCTCCGTCGAGAGCCCTCCAGACACCCCCTTACACGTAGTAAGAAACGACTTGACAACTTGTCTTCCGCTCCGCTCCAAACCAAGCGTCTTATTATTTCTACCTACAACTTCCGACCTCGCTTCTTCTTACACAAAACGGTTGTGAGACTAAGACATTACCTGTACGTCCAGATGTCATTACCCTCGCCAGGGTAAAGTGATGTACAAGTGATTGGTCTGCCGATCAACCAGTGAGGAACAAGACAAAGTAAAAGTGTGGGGGGTGTAAGTACTTATAGATGTCTGCGTGCGTGTGCCCTCTTTTGCCTGGGGCCGATTGCCTATCAATCCTTCCCGCCTGGACAAATTTCGAGCAGGAGTGATGGTGTCAATACAGACCAACAACTCTGAGTAGAAAAAAGTGGTTCAATCACGGCTGGAGGTCATGTTAGACATCCCTCTAGTCTGTACCAGTACAGAGCAGACTAACGAGGCTCAACGTGCACTCAATGCGAGGATGCGCACCGCCCCCCTCTTTGCGGACTGGGAGGTGGGAGAAGGAGGCAAGCACGGATGAGGTAGCGGTAGTGGTGAAGGATTTTTGGTTTCCACCAGGGTCCGAAGTTTGCAATTCCATCCAGAGTTTTTCAAGTCCCTCCGCGCCCCCCCCAAGTTATACAGTCATAGCCATACGGACTTCAAGTCCGGAGATAGAAATTCGTGGCTCATAATGCTATGCTCAGAAAAGCTATGCTGGAAAGGCTCTGTTTTCAAGCCTCGTGACCCAATACATTTGATCTTCACCTATAGAACCCATCACTGTACCAATCTGGCTGGCCAAAATATTATTGGAGAAGACACGGCCTTTAATCTACTTATTCTTGAAAGTATTAGTTTGCCCTGCATCCCCTGAGTTCGTTCTCCACAAAACCCAAGAATTCTGAAGCCAAATCCTGTGGCAAGCCTGCCTTCGAAAGCCGAGCCTTCATCGCAAGATCAACAATGTTGGGGTGGTTATAATTTTCGAGCATCCAGGCACCGCCGTCCATTTTGGAGACCCATCTAAATGTTTTTGCATAACTCACTTCACGACACGCATTGAGAATGCCGTCACAACATATGGGTCCGTTCCGGCGTTGCCAGGCTAAAGATTCAAACATGCAATCGAAGATCCACTCTCGTTTCGGAGCAGGGAAAAGTGTATGAGGAGGTGGTCCAAAAAGTGACTTTCCCAGGTCACGGCCGATAGCAATGTCAAGCAGAAACCAAAACCGAGGCTCAGTCAGAGCGTTCAAATTCAAGTATTCATGCATATTTCTTCCTGTATTGAAATTCATTTCGAAGACGGGGTGGGCCGTTTGTTTGGCAGCATTGGCTCTAGTGAAGAGGACGAATTCAAGCTTGCGTGCTGGACAAGGTATAGCGGCATGGCTTATAGTGCGAGAAAGCTTATGTAAATCCAGTACCGATTCATTAACAATGGCATAAACGTCAACATCGCTGATCCCAGGCTCGTATGCGCCGTACCCAGCAGAGCCGAAGAGATAGACAGCCAAAAGATTCCCTTTCAGCTCGTTTTGCAGAGTGCCGACCAGGCTGTGTAAGTAGATATCTAAGTGGCTATCCACCCCCTCGGCGGTCGACACGTAGACTGGTTGGTCTGAAGAGCGAAGGAGATGATTGGCCATGCTGGCTATCGATATACTCTCACTCGGCTTGGATATCAAGCGGGTTCTGATAGGCTAATTAGGTGTCGTGAGGCCGCCTCATTGGCCCTGGCAAGCAAAAACCTGCGACGATGGATGGTATGAAGCGACTGAAGCGGCCTTACATCTTTAATATAGCACTTTAGTAGGCACCCTTGTCATGTGAGAGGTGGGCCTGAATAGATCGTGACCCAATGATATGATATGATCATCCGTCCGGAGTATCCCCAACCCCATTGGAAGAACCAAATCAATCCTGGGAGAAGCATTTTCCCCGCCCACCTTACGCTTTCTCTACTACAAACTTCACCCGAACGCTTTTTCTCGAAGACGGGCGTCGAGTGCGTTGTATCTTTCTACCAACTTATGAGGAAACCCTATTGGGCATAGTGTCCGAATAGCCGCGCGTCAGCAGCGCTTGCGCTTGATTGAGCTTGGCGCGCATCGACGCAGTCCCACCCGCCGCCGTCTGGAGCTCCCCTCGAGTTGATCGAAAGTCCCCCCATCTCCTCTTTCTGTCTGCCCTATAATCAAACAAACGATCAATCCCTTCGGAAGGGCAGCAGCTCCTAGTCCACCCATCAGCTCTCCGCACGTTCCCCGTCCTCTGCTGGATCTTAACGGCCTACAGCTGCGTCCGCCCCCTCGGTTCGTCTCGAGACCTCAGCGCCCATCCTGTCCGAAGTTGCGGGAACACCATCTCATTTCCGCGCCACTTGCATTCGCTTGCAGCAACTCATCGTCGCAAAACCCGTGGACCTTCTATCTCCACACTGTCCAGCTACTACCAATATTTTCCTGGATCCCAATTTCGAAAGGTACCGCGCCTATCGCTCGTTCCGCTTGCATTTCACCGGTGCTCCCTTCACGAATATTCACTCGTCGTCCCATTGCTCTCTATCTCTCTCCTCCTTCTCTGTCTCCGTCGCCTTGCGATCGCATATTTATATCGTACCTTCTCTCGTTATGCTTGAACCACAGCTGACTCTGCCGTCACACCCGTCTCCGCGGTTTTCCACGAACATTCAGCGCTTCTACAGTTCTCGATCCTATTCCTTGCCGTTCATTACCCGACCACGCTACCCATAACACAAGAATCGCGCCCGAAAACGCAATCAGAACTTTAGACGATCATATCGAGATTTCTCTGCCCATCATACTCACAGCGCTACAAATCGAAACCCCCCGTCCACGATCCCGCTGGCTCGCGGCAGAATGGCCGGCCCAGCGAATCCTTTCTCGGGCATCGGCCAGAGAGATGGTTCGGCTGGCTCCGCTGGTCGTGGACGTGGTGGACCATCTGGACGCTCGACTCCGTATCAACCTAAGGCCAACACCGCGACACGCGACCCCAGGCTTCGTGGTCGGGGGCGCGGCGCTTCAGCGGTAAGAGGCACACGTGGTCAGGGGAGGGGTGCCGGGACGGGGAATAATGTCTGGAGAAAACAGGCCGAGCAACCGGCCGATCCTGCCACCGTCGCCTCGTCACCTTTCGGACAGCCGAAGAAGCTGGCTTCTTCCTCCCCCGCCCCTCCTGCGCTGAGCCCTTCCCCATTCGCGGGATTTGGAAAAGCATCCCCCGTGTCCTTTGGTACCCCCTCGAGCTTCTCCGGAGCTCAAAATGGCGGCAATGTCGCTTCACAGCGGCAACCATTTGCGCAGCCCACCAACGGAGCGATCAGTGCGACCGTCCCCGTAGAGGACGCCGCGCTTTTAAGTAGCTATACGGATCGCTACGAACAGGTTAGTTCAAATTGTGCTTCAGGGTTTGTACACTGGTGGTTAGTTTAATTGATGCTCACTGTCGAACAGCTCAAGCTTGATCGGACGAAGCAAAGGGAGAAGGCTATACGGGAAGGTCAGATGGCAGATCCGAACCAGCCAACGTCACTGCAGCAAGCCATTACACCTGTGGGTACTTGTACAAGCATGTGTCCAGAATTCGAACGAGTGGAGCGAATTGTTCAGAAGATGGTCGACAAGAGCGAAAAGGTGATAGCATCTGTCCGAGTTCTGCGCATCCGAAAGCTTATTCTATAACCAGTACCTGCATCCTGCCACGAACACCTTACAAAATATGGAATTGAAGATGCTCAAGCGGTTTCGACGATCGGCCGCCGGTTACGACGCGCAACTTCCGTCCGATATCAGAACACCCCAAGCGCTCCTTCAGACTATGAATTATCTCATTCGGCATGTTCTCGACGGCCCTGAACCGCTTGGATTGATCCACAAATTTGTTTGGGATCGGACTCGGTCAATCCGCAATGATTTTTCCGTGCAACAGGTCACTCAAGAAGACGATGTCAAGATTGCCGTGACTTGTCTCGAGCGGATCGCTCGATTCCACATTGTATCCCTGCATCTACTTTCTAGCCCGGCCAATGAGGAACCTTTCGACCGACACCAGGAACGGGAACAATTAAACAACACAATGCTTTCGCTAATGTACTACTACGACGACAACAGAGGCCGCATCCCGTTCCCCAACGAGGATGAGTTCCGAGCTTATTATATCCTTTTCTCGATTCATGATCAACGACCTGATTTGGAATCCCGCGTCCAGAAATGGCCGGTTGAGCTGAGGAGCTCCCCTCGTGTTCAAATGGCACTGGAGCTTTTCGCCGCAGCCAGCAATACCTGGGAATACCAGGGTACCCTCGATGCCAAACGCCCCAACGCTATCGCCCAGGGCTTCTACATGCGGTTTTTCAACCTAATAGACTCTCCGGGGGTCTCATACCTAATGGCATGCGTCGCCGAAATTTACTTCAATCATATGCGCCAGACCGCCATCCGCTCGATATGGAAGGCCTACTGCCGCTATCCAGCTTCGCAACAACATAAAAACGAAGAATGGACGGTGGACGAGCTGACTACGGTTCTTCGCTTCGATGATTATGACCAGACGATCAAATTTTGCGAAGAGCAGGACCTCCAGTTCGCCGAAAATGCAAACGGGGATCTCTATCTCAATTGGGGCACCCGTCCTGTGGATTCAGTCGGTACGTGTGCACTCTCGGCAGCTGCTTCGCCGTATATATCCGTCCGTCGGGCTCAATTCGCATCCTAAGGAGCTTGGATCTTAAGGCTACCAGCTCTGGTACTCACTTGATTTGACTTGACGACTAACTCAATTCGCGTTACAGCCTTCCAGCCATCCTCGGACCATGCATTTTCAGACACATACGTCGAATCGAAGCGCGCAGGTAGAACGCTTCCAGCAATCATCCTTGGGCTCAACATCAAGGAGGCAGCAAATCTGCAAATGATCGACAGTTCTCTCCTGCCGGAACGTGTCCCTGCTCTTCCCGCTCCTCAACCACATCCTTCGACAAATGATGATTCACTTTTTGTGAGCGACGACGAGAATCCCTCTGCATTTCGCTTCACCTCTTCGCACGAAGGAAGCTCCCGAAATTCCCCGACGTCCACAGCTAGCCTTCAGAATGCTTTTGTAAATGTCCCACCAGCAGTTATCAGCACTGAACCGAGTCGCCCCCCAACTTTCTCATTCGCCTCACCTTCACCTCAACCACAAGCACCTGAAAAACAGGCGGCCCCTTTCTCGTCCCTTTTCCCTAATTCTTCCTCTAACGCTTTTGGCGCGCCTTCGCCGCTACCACCAACTCCTTTCGCCACTGGCACCCCAAATTTACCCCAGTCAAGCCAGTCACAATTTGGTCTGTCAGCAACATCGAGCAGTCAGCCGTTGTCTGCGAGCCCATTTTCGAATGGCGCTTCGGCATTCTCGTTGTCTAAGCCCCCCCAGCAGGATCAAAGTACGATTGACTTCCCGTCGGCATCGGGCAACCAACAGGCTTCTTCGGGCGCGTTCGCTGCGACTACCTCTCCTTTCTCGTTCCCCAAACCTCCTCAGCAGGATGAAAGCAATAAGCACGTGTCTAGTACGTCAAACGCACAAAAGGCCTCTACAAATTCGTTCTCATCAACTACTTCGACTTTCAATTTCGGACAACCAGCTCAGCCAGAACAGGCTACAGCAGCGTTACCGACAGGAAACAGCCAACGGCCCATCTTCGCCAATATCCAAAGCCCTGGTCAAGAGAAGCAGCAACAACCACCACTCTCCTCCCTTTCATCTTCTACGCCATTCAAATTTCCAACATCTTTTACTCCTCAGCCCTCTTCGACTTCCCCTTTCAGTACTTCCGTTCCTGCATCTGCGTCAAATCCCGTCTTGTCGTCTACCGGGCAGTTCACACCTAGCATATTCCGTACTGGTGGTTCAAAGCCTACCTTCGACGGTCTCTCAGGCTCGGGCTTCAGTGCTTCTGTCCCAAGCCTGACCTCAGACAATGCGGCTGCTAAACAGCCTCCGTCCTTGTTTCCCAAACCATCGGAAGAGACAACCAAGTCGGCATCTCCAATCCCCTTATTCTCTGCTCCGAAAGAGACCAGTATGCCAAACTCAACTATCTGAATGAATTCACATGCTAACTTATCTAAAGAACAACCTACTATATCCTTTGCTCAACCACCAGCTGCAAAGTCAGATGTTTCACCTAAAGAAAAGCAGAGCCTGCCGAGCGGTGTAAAAGCCAGTATCTCAGACAAGCAACTTGACAATTCGACGCCGATGCAGGCTGATGTACCAGCTGTCTCCGTCTCGGAAAAGGAGCCAGAACTACAGCTGGACGATCTGGGTTCTCCGCAAAAGCCACTGCCTGCAGCCACCGAACCGAGCAAGAATCAAGTTTCAATGGCTCCTGCTCAGCCTCTACCCGAAGATGTTACGACTAACGACGAGGAGCCTGTGCACCGTACCTCGTGGTTGTCGGCTCTCAGGGAAGCCGCTGACCGGCGTCGGGAGAGCAAACCAACCACCAGTCGCAAACGCGTTCACGAGGAACCTGAAGAACCCTCGCCACCCCAGAGCGATAATGGCACCAAGGTGATCAAGGCGCAAAAGCAAGAAGCGCCTCGCGTGCCCAGCCGAAAGTCGATGGCCCTCTCCTCTCTGAAGCCTTTGCCCAAGCTTCCGATCCTGGAACAAATCGAGTCGATGACCACTCGGAAGCCAGCCGCGCCCTCTAAACCCCAGGAGCCAAGGTCTGTTCAAGTCG